GGTTTTGTGTTGGCTTTGAGGTCATGGTGTGACTCCATTTGTTTTTGGTACACTTTTTCATGGGATTACTTGTGGTTTAGCACTCAGAGCTTCCCTACAAGCAGTTGAAAGGCAAATGGCTAAAGGAATGTATACAGTGACACTAAATTATGTCTGTAGAGGAGTTTTCCCTATTGTTCTTCAATGGGAACAGAGAAAATAAGGACCACAGACAAAAGTGTAGATTCCTAAAGGTTAAAGGCGATGTTCATTAGTACCATAAAAACCTCCCAGGAGTGTTCTGCAGTTTGGACAGGACAAATGTAGAGCAAATAGTTCCTAGGGTAGGAAGTCTGTTCAAGAAAACCATTGACACAGAAAAGAGCAGAGTATTAAACTGCTCTTGTGATTTCATTAGAAAAATTAAAGTGGTTATAAATGTACTGCATAACTTGAATATCTTAAACGTATTTGTGTTTAAACTTTGCTCTTTCTGGTTCCTTCACCTTCACATGATCTGGTGGTCTATGCTGTGTGTGCCTGGGAACCTTGGCAGAAACCAGCCCAATTAGAGAAACCTGGATTGCAGCTTTTTACTATCAGGGAAGGAAAGAAACACACAGAAAGGTGCTTGTGTTACCAGTTATTTCTTTCAGTAAATAATGTTAATGACATAGGGCTTGTCAGCAAAGCACTAGTGAACCATCAAGGGTTGCTGCCCAGGGCTGGAGCCATCAAGTCCAGCTTAAATGTTTCTGTCCACATCTAAACCCAAAATAGGAATTCCTCAAACATCTGTGTAAGTCTTGTCCCTTGCTGGGCCAGCTGAACTCTTGTAAGCTAAAGTAATCTTTTTCTTCCCTTAAGTATACTCAGAACTACTTGTTTACAGACCTGAGGTGCTTGTTATTCAGCCTGGTAATGAAAATGCTTACCCTATGTACGTGGAGTATCAGTCATAGCGTGCTCTGTTTTTCTTCATTTTGGATGTAATTGTTTAGTGCAGTGACCAGCAGTGCAGGAGATGTCGAGCCAATTTCTCACAGATAAATTCAGTAGGAAGAGATGTTGCCTGGGGGATCTGTCATTCACTTCCTTTTGGATTTATTCTATGGAAAGTACGATTTCCTTGGCTCAGAGAAAAAGAAACTCCCAATGGCTAGGCCATACCCTAGGAGCAGTGGTGTCTGGCCTCCAGCACCTCTGCACAGCTGACACATCCAGAAATTCACATTTCCAGTTTGTGACTGGACCCAATCTAAACACTATGGGTTCTTTTGGGGTTTTGGTGTTTTTTTAGTTACCTGTCTGGGTAATGCATGGACTAGGAAGTGGGCAGCAGTGGTTATGCTAAACTGTTTAAATCGTAGTAAGATTTCTTTAGTTTAAGCTAGTAGTTAAAAACTACCTCGATTATCCTTCCTCTAGAAGGAAAGAATGAATTGCCAAAAAATACCAAAGAAGATGCTTTGGTAGGCATGAATGAAGTGTTTGTGTAGAGGGATGACCACAGTGCAGACATCTTCATTGCGTGGTTTAATTTACTTCAGCCTGGGATCCACAGGCTCAGCTGCACAGGCCATTCTCCTCAGTTTTGTGGCAAGATCAAATCTACAGATTCCTAAATTTTGGGTTCTTCTCCCCAAGATTACTACAGCCCTGCAATGCTGGGTCTGAAAACGGATCAGGAAGTCCTTGGAGAACTGGTGAAAATGAAAGTGCCAGCTGTGGCAGAGCTGATGGAAAGACACGGCGTCATGTGGACCCTTGTGGTGTCACGCTGGTTTATATGCCTGTTCATTGACATCCTTCCAGTAGAGGTAATCAGTGACATAAACTTCTTTTAATATACACTCATCACTGTTTGCTACTTAACTTGCAACGCTTTAGTAATAATTACTCACTGTCAATTACAGAGCTCTAACGCAAATTCTCTCCTTCCCTGCAGACTGTGCTCCGAATATGGGACTGTTTATTCTACGAAGGCTCAAAGATCATCTTCCGCGTGGCCTTAACGTTAATAAAGCAACACCAAGCTTTTATTCTGGAAGCCACGAATTTCCCTGACATCTGTGACAAGTTTAAGCAGATCACCAAAGGAACACTTGTAACTGAGTGTCACAGCTTCATGCAGGTAAAATTCTCTGCAGCTTTTAGTCGTTACACATTAAAACCAAGATTGACTTAGAAATGTTCTGCTCAGTCAAAAAGATGGATACAGTTGAGGGGCATGTATCTGTGGGGATTGCCAAAAGGATGAAGAACGTTTTTATATAAGAAAAGCAAACCTTTTAAAGAATTTAAATAATTATTCTCTAAACCTATATACACTAAGCCATTCCCATTACCTATCATACAGGGGGAAAATACACTTTTTGCCTTTTTTAACAGGGCAAAGAGAAAATAACTTTAGTGCATTCTTCCAGTGAACAATGGATTGTGTTCCTGTGGTTTTTTCAGATGAATTGTAAGAGACTATTGGAGAATAGACACAAAGCGAGTTTTAAACTCACATTGACAAATCTTCATAGTGCCAGAACACAAAGCATTCTGTTTGGAACAAAAAGGTAGCACTGGGTTCTCACTTCCAGACAAAAACCCATGGAGTTGAGTACTCAAGTCTTATGACAATCTGCAGACTAAGAATTATTCTTGTAAATTATTAATAGGTTGGATGCTAGATCTGTATGGAGCGTTATGTTCAGAGCTTAAGTCAGAAGATGGAAATGTAAAAGACAGTAGCTGCAAAAAAATAACTCCATTATCATCGTTTGCTAAGTGTGCACAAAACTACATCCCAGCAGGTGACCTTTGCCCCCAGGAGAGTTTCATGCTCATCTCAGAGCTCTGTGCATAGGACTCTCACAGTACAACATCATTCCTGTTACATTTCAGTTTCGCTCATATAGAAGAAAAATAAGCTGAACTTAATAGTGTTTGTGAGTCTGACAAGGGAAAAACAAATCACAGGTACAGCTTTAATTTAGAAGGGAGATGCTTGAGGGGTTTCCTATTCCATAAAAGCATAAGGGTTTTGTTACATGTTAACTGCCATGAGAGCATCAGTTCAGAGGCTGATACAAACACTTGTCCTTGTGAAGGACTTTTTTCCCCTCCTTCCCCCTCTCTCTAATTACAATACATTTTACAGCAGCTGTTTTTAGAAAATACAGTTCCCTCTTCTTTCAGTTACCCTCAAATAAAACATTTCATTTTAACTGTGTTGGTTACTGTAGTAAGAGGGCTTTTGAGACAACTGAATAAACAATTTAGGTTGGGTTCTTATGTAAATTGAAAACATGTACTTTTGGGTTTGGATTTGTTTGGTTATTGGTACTTTTTGGTACAGATACCTGTACAGGTTGTAACAGTTGAGTGTTTTATGCCTCCCTTCCCCTGAACAAGAACTTAGCTTTTAGTTTAACAGAACGCAGGCTGCTTTACCAGAACGCTGTTCAGAACTGGCTCCTTTATAATCTTATCTCCAGAGTTTTCAGTTACAAACACAGAGAACAGAGGACCCTACACATCTTAACTGGATTCAAGTGCATGATCTTGCAGCTTGCTTCATAGCTTAGTTCAGGCAGAAATTTTAACTGTTGTGAGCTGCAGCAGAGTAGAGGAAGATGCTGCCGTGTTACAAGGAGGCCAAACAGCAGTAAGGGTTTCACAGCATGGGTATCAGCGCAGGGGTTTCACACTTCAGAGAACGACATGACACCACCAGCCTGCTGTCCAAAGCCAGCATTTTAACTACGAAATTTCTCCTTTTGCCCCCAGAAAATATTCACGGACCCTGGAAGCTTGTCCATGGCAACAATCAACAGACTCCGAGAGACTTGCAGAGAGAAGTTGCTTTCTCAGGGATAACGCCCCAGATTTAAGCAGGGGGGCAGATACTGCAGCAACTGACACATTCCTCTACTTGCACTGACTCAAGCACACTTTAAGCTTTCCATGAGTTAACTGACACTTGACCAATTTTTTCCTGCCTTTCACGTAAGTGTTGTTAACACTTTGTACTGTATGTCAGACTTCCTAACTGGAACTGGTGGTTCTGTTCTTGGTTTGTCTGTTGTTTTTTTAAAGGATTAAAGTTTTCAGAGTAGAATGTGATCAGTGTCAGGACACTCCTTTTAAAAAAAAAGCAGTCACTGTCCTTGTGTTTTCAGGGCATTTTGTAATGGTAAAAGAAAACAGGTGTATAAAATTACATATCCTTCCTACTGTATTAACTGTGACACTGCTATCATTTGTACAGAATAAATTAATTTAATTTGTCAGAACCTGTTTCTTGGTGTGAAGAGAGTAAAATATCTGATTTTTTTCCTGACTGCCATTAGTTAGCGAAAATAAAGCAGTCTCCCTTTTTCCTTGCTGCTATCACCTAAACTCCATAAAAATGGCAGAGTGCAGGGCAAGAGGCCAAGTAGAAGGTGATATTTATCCTCACTAGCGCTGTGTAACAGCTCTTCAGATAAAGAGAGCAACATGCACAAGTCCAGGCTACAGAAAGCAGCAGCAAGAACTCCTCTACAATGACTCTTAATATTTGATATGCTTATTTGGGGTTTTCTAGCTCTAGCACAGCAAGTAACAAGCAATTTGACTCAATTCTGGAAGTAGCATCTCTCACTTTGTTGTAAAGGATGCTGAAAGCAGATGCTGCACTTCTACTTTGTGCTGGTGTGCTGAGATTGCCCTACAGGTGCTATATCCTCAAATTCCTGTATTCCTAAAGATTTGGGGAGAAACACATGTAAAGATAGCCACTTCCTTGACAGGGTCAGCCATCGGGCAGTTCCAAAGCTGCACCTTAATGCGTGTCTGAATCTCCTACTCCGGGCAGAAGAGCAGAGCAGCAGCCCTTCCCCAGGCGCTGGCCACCTCCAGCCCAGCCAGGCCGGGTGTCCCTCACTTGTTTCCTTGTCCCTGCAGAGCCCTCTGGTGGTCGGATCCCTTCCCTCGTCCTCCTGCTGGGGAAGGGAGGGAAGACAACTGAGGAGAGGCCAGCAATTTGGCTTTTTATTCTCCCGGTTGAACTACTGCGGAAAGCCTCACCTTTTAACACCACACTCGTTTTCTGTCTCTATTCCAAGCTATCTTAATTCCTTGCCAAGGGCAGCTTATGCTCCCAGCTCCCACAGACTGAGTTTCTCTCATCCCTCAGCAGGGGAAACATAATAAAAAACAAACCCCAAAACCAAAAGCCACTTTTCAGAGGAAGTAGATGAGTGCTCTTCTACGCAAGACAGCTAACTCAGCAGTACGATACCAAGCTATCTAATCCTTTATGGTACCAGACATTTTTCCTTGAGTACTAAATCATATGGATATTAGCAGCACCAGACTTATTAGGAAATACTAGTTTATTCACCACTGGCAAACTCCATAGTTTCCAGGTACCTTCAAGGCAGCAGGGTAGATGGTCCAAAGTGTGTTCAGTTGTCCCTGTCAGAAGTGTTCTGTGCAATGTTTCAGACTGCCTTGGTTCCTGCCCTGTATAGGTAGCACTGTTAACACCAAAACATTACTGCAGGAGTGTTGTGGTTTAACCCAAGCAGCAAACAAGCACCACAGGTGAAGCACGGAAGCTTTAAACACAAAAGTTCATTTGCAAGCACATTGCAACACACGCAGACCTCAGCAGACATGTTTCCTACTCTGGTAAGAGCCCAGCTTCAAAATGAAACCTAAAATGTCATTTACACAGCCCTTATACCAAGTGTCTTAGCAGCATGTTCAGAAAGAGCTGCTTAACAGGGCAGAGCAGTATACTGACATTTCTCAGCGAGCAGCGATTTAATGGAAGAGTTCAGTTCTCCAGAGCTCAGGTTACTGATATGCAGAAGCTTTACCTGTTTCCACCCACAAAGTCCAAAACAAGGCACTGTTCCAAAGACACACACACAGTTAAGCCTCACCTTTATGCCACACAGAGAAAGAATTAAATATTTCTTTAACCTTACTCCAAATAAAGGATTGTTGAAAGCTTCCAAAGTAGAGCAAAACCAAGATTTCAGGATTTACGAAAAGGTCAAATGTTTTTCAGTGACCAGCAACACTAAGATATACAGAAAAAAAGTGTCTTTATTAGCATTGTTACAGGCAATGCATACATAAGAACTGATCCTTAAAGTGTACAACCCCCCAGCCAAGTTTAAAGCAAGAGAATCAGCAGATTGAGATCTATATTGTACACATGTGCAGTAACAGGATCTCTCTGGACCTTCCAACAGAAGAGACTGAAATCACTTTACAAAAAAACGTAAATAAAAATAACACCCATTTTAAAAAAGTACCAGCTCCTAACAAGCCGGCAGAGCATCAAAAATATCAAACAGGGGAGTTGTCCAATCATAAAGAGTTCCTGTAAGGTTTGAGTATTGCGTTGTTCACACCCTGCATATGCCAGGCATTGAGTTTAAAGCTTAGTAAAAAATACACACCTAAGAGACGAGGTGGAGTATAGATCTTAAATTTCCATTTTGTCAGTTGTTACTAAATTTCTTTAAATGAATCATCAGTATCATTAACATCATCCCCGGGTGGCAGCAGTACAAAGAATGAGCCTTTTCCCTTTGTTAAGAGTTCTGAAACTGAGTCAGTGTGAATTAGCAACATCCCTCTCTGGAAACTTTAGCTGACATCACCTTATGCCAATTCCAAAAAAGCACCCTTAAAAACTTTTAGCTTGTTTCTAAGTGGGTAAATATTTCAACTAGTTAGCAAAATTAAACACCAGAATTTTCAGAAGTTATTTCTGTGCATAGTTAAATGCTGCAAGATGATTTCACATTTAATAAAGCAGACTCGAAGAAGAAGCAATTTGCAAGAAAAGGTGTTCCCTTACAATATCAATCTTAGCTCAGGGGAAATGTGTGGGGGTTTTTTCCCAGCTTCTTGCAATTGCTTTCCATCTACACTGGGTTTTAGTGCAAGTCATTAAATTGTTTGATACCCAGCGTGGCTCCTCTTCCTGCCAATCAAATAAGCAATCAAGACAATCAGAACAAGACCAGCAAGGGCTGCACCAACTATGATAGGGATCAGCATGTTATTTTCATCCAGTTGACATTCTTCCACTGAAGAGAGAGAAAAAGACCCACATTAGGCACTAGTGCAGCAACAGATGGCTATAGCCGTAACTTCAACCTTCTGCTCTCAGCACACAGATTAAACTGGCTCATAACTTCTAGCCTAGCTTGCCAACAACCACAAGGAAGCCAAGTCCAGTAACTATGATCATTCAGTAACTATGATCATTCTAGCATTAGTTGTATGCACAATATAGAGATTTCTTATAGCTGTTTTCTTCTCAAGAGCTGTCACTGTTATGCACAAGCTTAGCTATCATAAACATATCCAAGTGACTCCTCCCCTAGCCGCTTTGCTTTAACCACAGTCACAAAGGACAGCATTAACCAAGAGTCAGGAACTTCCCAGAACTTTGCCCCTTTCATACAACTGTGTGCACACAGGAGGGAAAGTTAATGCTCTTCCTTAACAATTCTTTGGATCACAAGGAACAAGTCCGAGGTATTTCAAAGCTTTTTACATACTTCCCGCACTAGCCCCCACAACATCTGTAATGTGGCATGTAAAGACCAAGCATGGCACTCACAAGCTGACTTTTGACTACAGAATATTATATCTTTATACCAAAGTGCTCTTCACAAATCTTAAGTTTCCCCCAACCCAGTGTAAACCTCTTACCTGTCCCGAATTTGTCTCCATCGATCTTGAAAACCTGGATCTGAACATTAAACACATTGACAAGGGCTTTGTCGGTGACCTGGAGATTCTCCTCTGCACTGCACTTGTAGGAGTTTCCTACTGTAGCTCTCAGCTCACTCATGCTGTTGTTCGATGCTTCAAACTTGGGAACTGTGGGAGAGAAAGCCTTATTACAGAATCCTGAAGAGCAAGAGCTGTAAGCTCATAGAGCTTAAATTCGATGCATTCATCTCCAACATTTCTAGCATGTTATTTAATGCAGGCAACCCTTAATATTTATAGTAGTAGTCACTGAAAGTTGACTTCTTAGAAGTCCCTACCTTTGGCTTCAGAAGGCAGAGTCGTGCTTACAGTCACACCTTGCAGGAAGAATTTTTCAGCGCTTGTGTTCTTTTTAAAAAAGAAACCAAACCAGTAGTTATCATTAAAGCTAATGATGTACAACAAACTGTTAACATTCTGGTGCAATTCTGCAAGCATTTTGAGAAAGGTTTTCAAAGGATAGTCACACAACTGGGATCAGCATCCAAAGGAAGAGCTTAATTGCTCTTTCAGAGAGAAAAGCTACAGAAGGTATGCATCTTAGGGGAAATGACTTTGAGGGAGCGCAGGGAAGCAGAGAAAGGGGCACTGTCACGCCTCAGACTGCTGACTTGACCTCCACACTAAAGGTGCAGTCCCACCCATTCCTGACCCAGGCCAGTACAATGATCTGACCTGTGCTACAGACACAGCTTTAAAGCACCTCAGTACCCCCCAGATGTGGGGAGTCATTTAATAGTAACAGGCCTGGGGGATCACGTTTGATCAGTCCCACAAGCATTAAAAGCAGCATGAAGCTGACAAGCACAGTGGATTCAGTCCTCAAGGATACACAGCTCTAATACAGCACAGGGGCAGAGCCGCAGGGAACAGAATTTCCAGCCATCATAGGAGCCCATAACACAAGCACACGTGGCTCTTGGGCTGTACACAGAATATTAATGAGGACTTAAATCCAGTTCCAGACCTGTACAATCAGATGAGATGCCTATTAGTCACAGGCTATTCCTCTGCTGCAGCTGAACTGTTCCCAGTTTGGGCGAGCAGCTTTAGAGCAGGTAATATAATCTTAACAGAAATTCCCATTCCAAACAAAACAGATGGTTGTCTATACATACATGTAGGTACACATGTAAATATTCCTTCCTTACAACAGTTACTAAGTATTAAACCCTCTAAATCCTAGTATTAAAAACAATTTTCTTCCTGTAGTTGCATCTTTTTTCTCTTGTACTTTCCCCAGTGGGTTTTCCCACATGAGAAGTCTTGCAGACCCTACACGATTTGTCGACAGATTCTTACCAATGCAAAGTGGAAGATAACCCTTGTTTTCTCAAAAGTCAGATTCAAGAAGGCAGACATATTGTCGCACGTCCCAGAAGAAGTTGTATTACGTGGTACGAAATTCAGCAGATCCAATCCCATCTGTGAGAGAAGAGGGCCAGTTATGTATGACACATGAGTAGACTAATACATCACCATATGTTCAGTCGGCTTCTAGCTTTTTGTACTCAGACCCACGCAGTGCTGTGTTTGCCCACACATTTTACAGACAGCTGGGCAACATGTGCAAGTTACAGGCTGGTGTAAGCTACACCTGAGTTACCAGGCTGGTACAGAGACCAAAGGGCATCTTTGCATGCCTGACAAAGCTTTCTGCAGCCCTGACGGCCTGAGGCCAATAACCTGCTCCTTTCTCCACACTCAACTTCTTTGGTCCTAGCAGCATAAGGAAAAACATCAGTAACCACCACTGCACAGGAGGCAACAAGCTATAAGATACTGCTTTGCCATAAGGGAACTCCTTGTGAGCATGGTCATCTTGCACATCACTTCAGTTCAAAATGCTTTAGCGTTGCCTGTCATACATTATTTTTATACTGTCCTGTATCTGCAGAAGGCTGTGGGTTAAATGCACTTCCCAAGCAATACAACAGAAACCTTCAGTAGCTCTTAGGTCTTCCAAAGTCACGAGGGTCAACTGTTTGCCACCTCCTTACTGGTCCTTACACTGGAAATCAGCTGTTCTAGCACAGCCAGAATGCCATGTGACAGGACACAGCTTAGGGACTTTCACACAACTAATGTCGCTAAAACAACAGCCCATCATAACCAGCTACTGTACAGCTACACACCAGCTATCAGTGCTCATACTTTACCTCTCAGTCATCATCATCATAAATAAACACAACAAATGCCTTTGCATCACCACATACAGCATTAAGCAGCTAAAATCCTATACAGCTACCACCCTCCCCACACACTGGGTCCTTTATCACTGGGATCCAACTTAAACTACACAAAAGCAGCCATCATTTGCTTGCCTGCACTTGTCCTCATAACCTCAGATTAAACCACAGGATTGGAAAAAGCAGCTTCTGATCAAAGGTCCTTATAACAAAGCTTTACTGAACATGAAGTTTTGCTGACCCTTTGAGATTACGCTCACAACTTTGCCTTACCAGTTAGCAGATAACTGGTTTGTCCACCGGGGTGGCAAGCTGGGCTTTGCATCAACAATGGCGGGAAAGAACCTGTGCCAGGGCTGGATCTTACATAAACCATGTAGCATTTCTGCTGTGAAAATCAGCCGCTGAGTAGCTTTCAAGCATTAAAGCCAAGCCCAAGCCTCTTCAGTGCTGGCTGGAAGTTAACTGAGTCACAAGCCTGCCCAGTTTCACAGTAGTAATAATTTCCCCTTCTAATAGTCATTCAGTGTTTTCATTCAGATGCCTCAGGCCAAATTCCTGTATTTTATTTATCAGTTTTAAAAGTCTGTTTAGATGGCATCTTTGATAACAGGATTCCCCTATTCATTTCTTGATAATTTTTACAGCTTCTGCGGAAGTTTAGTACTCTTACTGAGTGGAAAAATCTTTAATGAACACTTGCAGTAGAAGAGAACTGTTTGAATTGTCACTAGTCCAGTCCAAGTTAAGCAATTCAAACAGAGGACAATCATGGATGCACACTATAAGGATCTGCGATTATTTTTTTTTAAAGCCTATAATAATTTACTAAGTTTTCCCCAAAGGAAGAATCTGAAGGCTCTGAAGAATGAATAAAATGTACCTTTTCATCCTTTTTTAGATAGGTGATATTAAGCTGTAATCCCATGTAGGCAAGTACACAGGTTCCATTTGGACCAGTCACGTTGTATTTACCAACTGCAGGATTTGGGGGCGATGCAGTTGGTGCAGGGCTAGTTGTTGGAACCTGGCTAGTAGTTTGTTTAGGAGTTGTAGGCACTACAGCAGTAGTAGACATCATATCTTCAGCACATTCTGTCTCTGGAGAGAAAGGAGAACAGCCATTACCAAACAAAATGAAGCTGTGGGACGCTCTACCTTTTTAATCCTCAAGGGAAAGGAGGACACAACTTCAAATAGCTTTTCTTAACAGAAGAGAAACTGAGGAGAAGCAGAGAAACACAATGGTAGAGCATTACTTAACTCTTGTTGCAAAGTTTGAGACACTTTTAAAACCTGGCATGTGAAAATGACACCTCTGCTGTTATGTACAGAAGTTCATGGTGACTGCATTTGCTTTTATTCATGTCCGTCATTTCACTCTGCCATCAAGTCAGGACAAATAAGACACTACTATGTCAGAGCCAGCGTTGCCACTGTATGTTCACAGCAAGGCTGAGATGACAACCCCTCAGACACTCTGGACACTCGTGTGCCAGAAGCAGAGGAACAGTTCTCCTTCCCTTTGTTAAAAGTGGCCTCTCAGGAGCTGTGTTTTTCTCCTCCCCCTCTCTCCCTCAGTCATGCTACCAGGTTGCGAGGACCCTATGTCATAATTTTGGCAATACCCACAGTACCATTAAAATACTGCTGGACTTCTCAAGTCCTCATAGCAGTGCTGTGGCTCTTCTGTCCTTAACAAAGGGACTCTAAGACACTGCTTCTGATGGCAACTGATTTGCTGTATCCTCTCCCTTTGGGTCTCATGCCCATCCTCCTCTTTAGTCTTGCATTAGTAGTCACCCACCGCCAGGGGTACAATGCTGAGTGAAGATGTGTAAGACTGCCTTCTTTTTTCATCCAGTTCAGCAGCAACTTCCAAGGCAAAAGGTGAGAGAACAAACAGTGACTCCAACTTATTTGCCAGAGTACTCAGAAAGGCCTGGCAGAAAGATCTTTACTTGATCTGGGAGCCAAGAAGGTTACTGCACTGAACATCTAAGCCAAAACCAAAGGTCACAGCAAAGACACAACCGTAGTAGAGGCTTCCATGTTTCAAGCCAAGGCCATGTCCACGTTCCAGGTCTAACAGCTTGCAGCTTTATAAGGATGACAGTAACTGCAGCAGCAGTTCTGACTCTGAGGGCCTACTTCTAAAATTTAATCCACGCATATCTTGCAGATACTAGCTAGCTAATAAATAGCCTCTGAACTTAAACAGCAACTTCGCTTTCAATTATGGCTCAGAAAGAGGAACTCTGATCACACCTGAACTCACACAGACTCCAACATACCATGCTTTCCTATTTCTGCTCCATTTCTGGAAAGCCAAAGAGCAGAGGGAAGGCAGATGAATGGAGAAATGACCCTATCTTTTGTAGACTTAATAGATACTAGTTAGGTCCCAAAATGGGTTAATTTTCAAGCAAATAAACCAAATGGCAGCTTTACTTGGTACATCAGAGAATTTCCCTCCATGTGCAAGACAAACACATACAGCCTCTTACTCAACTTAGTAGAGATGGAAACAAGCGGACATTTGTCCTAGGTGGAGTCTTGATACAGTACTGAACTGATTTACAGCATAGCTCCTAGTAATCTCCAAAACAGATTTGGAGATGAGACAAATTCTTATGTCTTTTTCCGACAGTTAAAGGAAAGCAGCTGGCAAAACTACCAACAGATAAAATTTAAGTCTCCTTTTCTTCAGAGCTGCAGATAATCACTGCCATAACCTCAGTCACTAACTTCTAGGTACATCAACAGAAGCTACCATTACCAGTGATACACAGATGCACTGAATACTGACTCTTCTTCCCTTCAGTAAGCCCTGCCAAGATCACTGGCAGAAACATCCACTAATGAAGGAGCTGCAGTGGAAAAAAAAGTTAAGTGAGAATTCCAGATCTAAAGTTTATCAATAACCAGCTGCCAAAAGGATAGGGAAGTCTCAAGCCTACAAGAGTGGAAAGAAGGAACTGATCTGACAAGAACAAGGTGATTTCAGGGTCAAGATTTTTTAGTATAAAGTAAGAATTCTTTAACCATCTGAATAAACCAAAAACAAACAAAAAAACTCAAACACACACACAAAAAAGAGAGCTCATTACACAGTAGGAATAGGAAAAAAATATCTGGGAGCAGTCCCAAGACAGTAATAAAAACTTAGAGATGATGATAATTTGAAGAAAAGAATAACAAGAATGTGGAAAGAAAACTCCTTGAACTCAGACCAAAGAGTGTCTATCCATCTTTTGGGGCAAAAGGCCCCATATCCCTGGAGATATTCAAGGTCAGGCTTGATGGGGCTCTGAGCAACCTGATCTGGTAACATTGTCCCTGCTCACTGCAGGGAACTTGGGCCAGATGATCTTTAAAGGTTCCTTCCAACCCAATACATTCTATGGTTCTACCTCAGGATGACAGGAAATCATGTTTTTTCTGAGGAACAATAGTTTCATCACAACAGTGATACTACAGGATGGAGAAAGGTAACTCTGGGGAAGTGATCCTAGCAAATACAGTGTTCGTATTACTCTAACAAAGAAGAGAAGTAATTAGGAACAGTAAAGAAAACAAATGCTGACAAATTTGTGTTGCCTAAGGATCATGCTCCTGAAATAAGGCTATATATACTTTTTTTTTAATCAAAGGACTATGTAAGAACAGATAACAGGCGGTGTTAAAAGGAAAATTATTACACAGTAGGGAGATTTTACTGAAGTTTTATAGAAGTTAAAAAACAGCTTTTCCTAGTATCATGGTTTATGTTCAAGCCTGCTGATAACTGATCACTTATCATGCTTATCCAGTATAATAACTGGCTCAAGACATCGTATTTAAAAAATGAGATAGTTCTGAAGACTGAAGTAATAGAAACCAGGGTTGGTTTTTTTAAATTATAGATATAGGTCCATATTTTGCTGCAAACTAGTTCACTGAATGGAAAAGACAGATCAGAAGAACAATACACATTGAAATCTGAGTCAGAGCCAGCCATAAAAGAAGTCAGCTCCGGTACTACCATGCATCAGGCAAGGTACTTTTCAGAGACACAGGACATGGTATAGATACTCCCTGTAGAAGGCACTTGTTCAATGTATCCCTCACATGCCAGCACTATCTACTTTTTAAGATTAATTTCAACAGGTGCATAAATGGGAGTAACAGCACAAGAAACAGTCTACATTTCCTAGAGAAGATCAGACTTCTTACTTGCCCTAAAAGTAAGGCAAAGATTTATCACACCCTAAGATACCACAGGTGATCAAACATCAAGAGCCACGTAAACTGAAGAGTGCTGCCACAAAAGCAAAGGACATGGACACACTATGAAGCAGTCTGTCTTCTAATTATAGCAGTGAAATTCCTAAATGCTTTTCAGTACAACCAATCAGGACAAAAAGTCATTTTGTGATGGAGCCTGACAGAGAGAACATCACTGTTACAGCTTTTATATAAGGCCTCCTGCAGGAAGGTGTATACATCTGCTCCCTACAGACCAGCTCTCTATTGTCCGCCATTGTATCCCTAATTTTCCCCAGAGCATACAGTAACTGGTTCAAACTACTCTGGCAGAGGCATAATACTTGGAAGGTATCAGGTACTTCATCAACTAGGATTTTGGCCATGTGCCCAGCTGACCTACTGCAGCATGTGTTTACACCCATAAATAATCATGAACAGGAGGAACATCCTCCAATACCTGGTACGAAACCCACTGGAACACAGTGCACTATCTTCTAGTCATGATCAACAGAGAAAATGTGAAGCAGGTCTATTTATTTCCAAAGATGTTGCTATCAGAGCTTTAGATCCAGTTTTAACCTGTCTAAATATGATTAGCCAGGACTTAAAAAGAAATAACCTATTATTGGAAATATTAGCTCACCAAGTTCATTTTCTGCTACAAGATACTTACTGTTCAAACTTAAAGTGCCATTTGTGAGATAGGCTTCCAAAGTAACATTGCTAAAAGTAACGTTCACATTCTTCATATTGACATGCTTGGAGCTGATGCATCTGTATTTTGTGCCCAGATTTGCCTCAAAAATATTTTTACTTGATACTTTCTTTATTTCTCCTGTAAAAAGATTACATTGTGTTAGTATGTAACAGTATTTACAAAAACAAACTGGTAATAAATCTGGAAGGGTTATACAATGAGAACAGGAAGTTTTCATTTTACCTGCAGTTGCATTATGGAATAAAGTTGCATCTGACAAATTGTAGTGGAAAACTAGCTCTTCGACTTGGTATTTGTCTGCATTTTCTGAGAAATTCAGGCTTAATGAATGTCCTGCTCCAAAACCCAATACCAGAATTGGATGAGATGTGTTACCTGTACCACATGAGCTCTCTGGCTTTACTGTAGCATTTTGAGGAAGAAAAAAATATACAAACTGTAGGGTAGAAAACAAAACAACACAGATAAATGGAATGATGTAACAACTTTTCCTTACTGCTTTTTAAATATCTTATGACAATGTTATAAAACATACAGCTGGCATTCATATATGCTATAAGATGTCTATTTATATCCTTGTATATAGCAAGTAGCAGCTTACTGACACTTGGATTTCTAAGAATATTGTTGTCTGAAATCTGAAGACAAAACAGTACATACTCACAGCACTTCTTAGACTTTCCCCCCCCCACACTGGCATGATGAATTTGCAAGTACTTCTATACTAAGTGAATCAAATCTGGCAAACTCCAGACATGTGAAAAACTGGAAAATTTAAGCTTTGCTTCTGGCACTACAATTGAGTAAGAACAAAAGCAAATGGCACAGCCTGCACAGTTAGGCTACAGTACTTTGAGTTTATTACATATTGAGAAGTAACTCAGTACCTGAAGACCAAAACAGTATTTGCTGGAAAGTTATGAGCTTACTGCTTACAAGAAAAACCAGCCAAAAGCATGGCATGAAAGCTGTCACCTCTGAATGCAAACTTGCATACCAGTATCAGCAGGATTTCAGATCACTGAAAAAGGGGACTATGCAATATAACTCCCACCTCCAATCGCACGCAGCAAGTGCACCACTAGCAAAGCAGTAAGATTTTTTTTAATCTCAAATGACATCAATGTCTATGAAAAAATCAACTTCAACGAGAGTGCCTCAGAACACGCAGCTGCAATGAGACTATAGATAATCCACAATTCCCATTCAGTAGTAAAGATACTAAAAAAGTAAACTGAAAAGCAGTTCTTTACTTGAGAATAACAGTCTTAACTTTCCATTAACAGGTGTTTGCTGTCAACATGGAACTTGTATGCACTGCGCTAGCCTGTAGATGCACTGAAAGCTAGAGATGTGCTCAATGGGAAAATCAGATTTCAGGGAAGTTTAAAACCTACGTGCCAAAGGCCATTTCAGTTCAGATTTAGTCCATGTAATTATGACCAAGTTAAGTTCACCAAAAGATGACTGGAAACTTTTTTGGTTTTGCTACTCCAATGAAAGCCATTTTAGCTACCAACAGGACTGGGGAGGAATTTCAGTCACAAAAGTAATTTCACACACATTGTTTCTGGTGGTTTCAGGCAGTGTTAACCCTGTTTAAATAGAGGCAGCATCAGTAATAAAGAAAAGTTGATGCAACACGAGTGGGACGGAGCAAATCTTTGCTGAAGCGTATTTTCATGCTTAAATATTTGTTCAAAGTTTAAATATTGCACACATGCAGAAATACCACACATTTCATAAACACAACTTAAGAGACAAACAGTGAGATAACCCCCTTACCTCTTTTTGCCCACTGCTTTTGTACTCCACTGAGAAGGCCACTGTCAGATCAGCAATTATGCAGACCTTACCACTTGCATCTTTCACCTCAAATGAAGAGGAAGCCTGTAAAAACCCTGTTAAAAATGACAAGTGGTGAACTTAGTGTCATGGAAGTTTTTATTTTTTGATCCCAAAGAGACAAATGCTTACAATTGTACACTTTAGGAGTACATCCTAAACAGCAGTTGAGTTTGGAAGCTTGGGCACTAACAGTCTCTATAATAGCTTCAAAATCACTAACACACAAAGGACAAATTTAAGACTCCATTTATAAAAAGACAAAGCCACCCAAACCAAAACTGTTGACATGCTAGGTCCTCAGAGGACAAGAAAATCTTGCAATAAACACCAGTCAGACCGTTCAAGGCAACTACTCAGTGTTCACCCTACACAGCAACTATTTTGCAAGCTTCAGCCAGAATTGATTCAGCAGATTTGATCCTGGATGCCTATAGCACTCGGCCTTCCCCCCACCAGCACACCACACACCCTTCATTCCTCTTGTACCAGGACACTCAGCTGTACATGTGCTGAATGCAGCATTTAGAAAGCTAGGATTGACTGCAGATGTTTTGGAAGGACTGCCAAAAATAGCATGACTGAGCATGTCACCCTTGCCAGGAGAACTTCTATTAAATGTCACCACACTCTCTGCACTTGAGAGGAGGATAGGGGCCAAGACCTTGACACTGACAGAGGTTATGTTTTCCTGAGTGATATAAACTAACCTCAGACCGAGATGCTGACAAAACCATTGCTTTTCCCCCACTCCAGGACAACTGGCCACACCAGTTACTGACTTAACAGGGTAAGAACATGTGGCGAGAGGAGCATGAGATTATCCTTTCTGACAGCAGCGCAGACTCAGGCCAGCATCCACTGACAACAAGGCTTCACCTAGGTGACACATGTTGCAGGAGGTCAGATACAGCCAGAAAGCTGGTTATCTCATACTTCATTTGCAGTAAGGGCTAACTGGACAGTGCTCCTGGATCTGAAATTACACCAAGGTGTTCAGAGTGCTTTATTGTAGAGCACTGTATTTTTCTGACTCTCAATCTGTCTTCACACACACACATTCAAAGCAAACCTCATTGCAAAAAGCCTGCACCATTTTCATGCTAGCACTTTAACAGCTTGCACTTGCAGAAAACCTGAAAAAAAAGCAGCTGCAAGACATAAACCACTCCATTTATCTCAAGCAAATAAGCTTTAAAGAGTCAAACATGCTAAGCCAGTCAACTACTGATATAACAAAAAGATACAGCTGATGGATTATCATTAGCTATCTTCCCTCCCCAAGAAGTTTTCAAAAAGCAGGTCTCAATTTTAAAACTTTTCACTACAAAACCATGGTGCAAGTAATTGTATTAAGACAAAATTACCAGGAAAAAATGGACTTATGTTAGCTCAGCTTGGGTAGATGGCACTTCAGTTGTAAGAACGCATTGGAAACAATTTCTCTGGCACTCAGCAAACATTTTCCCTTGTTGCCTTCCCCTTAGCAACAATATATCCTCCCCCAGCATCAAAGCAGGTCAAACTTAAGCTGGAATTCCTCCACTTTACTCAGTTGTTTAAAGAGTCTAGACTTGAAACCACAGCTAGACAGAAGAAAGAAACTCCTTAAGATAGTGTAGAAAACTGGTATTCCAAGGGAAAATTGTCCTGCCTTTGACTTTATGTCCAGCTCATAACATGCACTAAAGAACATATATTCACAAAGAAAATGGTATTTATTGCAGTTTAGTGCAGTGCTAGAAATAAACAATACTTCTCTGCACGGAAGTTTCCTTCAATTAAATTTACATCTGGAACTTGTTTACATTTTACCTAAGCACTTATTTTCTCAAGGGCAAGCTGCTTAGACTTTCTTCAAGATTTCTAGCACAGCGCAGAGTCAGGGAATAAGAGTCTATGGCTACTTGAATTGACACTACTAATGGAAAACATGCTGGAATGAAAGTCTTCAGTGTGCACGTTGGCTCCCTTGTTTGATAGTTATTAAAAAAACTTGGCAATGTTAGAGACACAAATAAACGAGTAATAGACAGTTGTCGTGGTTTCACCCAGTAGGTGGCTAAACACCATGTAGCCACTCACTGCCCCTCACGCCCCCAACCCCAGCCTCCTCAGTGGGGCAAAGAATCTGAAGAGTAAAAACAGAACAAAAAAACCCAAAGAAACCAAAGCCAACCAAAACTCATGGGTTGAGATAAAGACAACTTTAATGACTAAAATAAACCAAACTGAAATAATAAGAATTGTAATAAAAATATGAATAATGATAGTAAAGCAATCAAAGTTATACTCGGCTCACAGCAGCAACCCTGGCTGAGCATTCCCAGTAACACTCCAGCAAAAATGCGATGGTCACCAACTGAGGGAGTGGAACTGAATGGCAGATGAGATCTTTAGGGACAGCAGCCTTCCAGAGAAGGGCACCCCCAGCAAACTCCCCAGTTTATAGTGAGCATGATGGTTACGGTATAGCATATATTCTGCCGGCCAGCTCTTAGATCACACCTGGGTCATCTGTTCTTGATTATCTGTCCTGGAAAACCCTGGGCTTTTGTTCCCTCAACATGTGCAGGGAGGAGTTGGTGGGGGATGGGGAGGAACAACCAAAATAAAGTAGGAGCACAGGTGCAGACAAAAATTGAAAAACTTGCATTAGTGTAAGCATTACTTAGCAACAACCAAAACTTCAGTGTGCTATCAACATTCTTCTTAGCACGAATCCAAAACAAAGTCTCCATACTTTCTATGGGGAAAATAACTATCCCAGCTAAAGCTGTAATACCAGCTTGTTTTCACTAAATCAAAGACTGCAATTCTTTCAGAAATGCAGCTCTGCTGAACAGAAAATTGAGTTCTACAATTCAATCCCAGTAAAACCAGGATAGCAGCAAAACAAGCAGAAAATAGTAACTTCTTTAAAAATACAGGGGTAAGAAAAGACTGAAAAACAATTAAGAAAATGTTGCTGACAAAGAGAAATGTGACAGACCTGCCCATTACAGATCATTCAGAGAAGAACAAAAGACAACGCAAAGGTAGCAGAAAGCACCAAATGGAAGATGGATTCTGGGAATGAAGAGCTGACAAATCACCCTCAGTAAGTTTAAGTAGTAGAGAACAAGGGGTGTGAACAAACAGTAAGAAATACCACCTGCATAACTACTAGGTTTCTGCAAGGTTAAGTTTACACCAGGATATGAATCCTGATTTTGTGTATGTGGAACAGATGCTATAAAGCCCAATTCCTTCTTAAGAAATATTCAGCAACTGCTGGATTTGCAGTGTCAGTGGTGAGACAGAAGCACTAAGCACGAGACACTGAGCTGTCCTTGAAGTGACAAGAGGGCTGTCTCAGTGCCGCTAAGCCGACATGCACAAGGATGATGATCAGACAGCACTGTGCTGCAGCATCATCTGCTTCCACGGTCTTGGGGCAGAGACAGAGAAAAACACAGATGGAACTGAAACATAAGGGATATAGAGGTGAAGAAAAATCAGAAAAAAGCACTGAGGAACAATTCAGGAGACTGAAGGAAAGAAGGTCCTGCCTACTCCTCACTCCAACCAGTTTAAGGCAGAGGAACAGCTCGCTGGGTTTGGGAGGAAAGCAGCTGTTGAGTTTGTGAAGGCAGTTTCAGTGTCAACTAGTGATTAATGCATGAATCATCACCAGCCCACAAATAGAAAGAGCCTACAGTCAAAATGTCAAGAATATAGAAAAGCAAACTGATGTTGAATCAATCTGTCCTGGGAATATTTCTATTAAGTTACATAAAGTCTTGCTCAATTTTATCATGGCATATCTACAAGTTGGGAATATTGCTTGTATATCTCATAACAACATTGTTCTTTGTTATTTAACACAAAAACTGATACAACCTCCAGCTTATTAAAACTTTAGTCTTTAAATGCTCTTCTTAATGAACTGGAGCATCCCATTTGAAAACTACTGTGGTAGAGCAAGCGCAGTACTTCAGAGTTACACAACTGAACAGCTCCTAGACTTTTCAATAGCAAAACGTTTTGTCAAGTTCATCACTCATTTGGCTGGAAATACTATGTTACAGACAACTAGTACAGGAATCATCAAAAATGTACTAGCATGAAAGAAATTTCACTTAGTTCAGATGCTTCCTTTGTACTCCAATAGATACTGAAAAAGGGCTGCTTACATAATTATTCTAGCTGCATATTTGCAATTGAAAATCATAAAATAATCTCTCCTTTTGTATCTCATTTCTGAAATTATAGTCTCATGCAAGAAAAAAAATTGAAGGTAAAACTGTTGAAGCCACAGCTAGATACGTTACTTGAATTAAATCCAGCATCCCTTATTTAACATACCTACATAAACCCCAAGCAGAGTGTGTGAGCTACAATAAACAATTCAAACAAGACTAAGACTCCCTTGGTTATATAACAATTTATCTTAAAAAAATCTACCTCAAAAGGTTATGCTTGTTTTAAGCTGAAAACAAAGTTAACAAAACAATCTAGCACATTTGAACAGTCTAAATCTGAGTCCTTTTGAATATGACTCTTAGAATGGCAGGCTTCCCAACCTCTTGACCACATAAGGATGCTTTTGGGTTTTAACCTTTTTATAATTGAAATCCTGCTAGGCAAGCACAGCTACCCTTGGGTTACTGTCTCATATAATGGAAACCTAGTAAGGGAGAAAGATTAATGGTTGCTGTGCTCTAAAAAGAGGTGAGCATATATTAATGGCAATTGTTTACACTGCTTGCAAAGAGGACTTCAGTTACTATAGTTAATGATTTACTTTGCCTCCTATTTCTATTAGAAACATGGAACACTGACAAGGATCTCAAACACAAAAAGCTACTTTTATGTAATTTGGGTTTTGTTACTGTATTCATATTTCCTGCATAAATGAAAAACTCTAGTATTTTTCTGCTTTCCTCTTGGAATAAAGGACAGCAAAGCCATCCAAATCCACCTGGGCACATACTCCACATCATCAATGGCTTAAGCGACACAGATACCTATTGGATGGGACTGCCTGCAGTTACGTTGACTACGGCATTGGGAA